GTTATCCATCCCTCCACTAGGGACACTTGAGCTGTTTCCAGTTTTTGGCAATTACAAATAATGCCACTTTAAATATCATCGTAAGGTCTTTAACATCCAACATATATTGGAAAGATAGATTCTCAATAAAGGTATGTGTTTCCTCGGTATCTACTTGATTTTTTTATTTTTATTTTTATTTACTTATGGTAGTCAGAGAGAGAGAGAGGCAGAGACACAGGCAGAGGGAGAAGCAGGCTCCATGCACCTGGAGCCCGATGTGGGATCCAATCCAGGGTCTCCAGGATCGCGCCCTGGGCCAAAGGCAGGCGCCAAACCGCTGCGCCACCCAGGGGTCCCTCTACTTGATTTCTAAAGCAGAACCCTTAAAAAACTTAGAGATCTATATTGGTTCTGAATAAGTTCCTTTAAAAAAGTCACTTAAAATTTTTTCTCCAATTTATATGCAAGTCTGTGAATGCTATAATTAAAGCTTATAGGAAGGCTTAATGTTAAACTTAATAATAGACCACACCAACTTGTCTTGATGTCATGAAAGAACCTTCAAAATCACTCTGATGTACTGAGGAAGTTATTTGTGGCATATATGCAATCACTTCAAATACAGCTTTATTTTATGTTATCACTTCTCAGGGCAAGGACTTCCCTGAGTTAACTATTTTCCCTGTTAGTATTGTGACATTAATACAAGAGATATGGACTTATATATACAACAGGTTCTGAAGATCTGGTTTTAAGAAAATACATTTTTTAAAACCTCGCCTTCAGATATGATTAAGCAAACATTTTTACATGTAGAAAACGAGCAAAATAATATATTTAAGATGCTTTTCTAGATTATGAAACAATCCTAAAAAAAAAAAAAAGATTGTTCTTTTTCCCTTAGCAGCTTGGTCACCTATTTCTCTGATAACCACTCATTTTTGTCTAAAAGCTGTGAGTGCTCCCCTGGACACACACCTGCCAGGCCTTTGTTGACTCAGGGTCTAGCTGGAAGCATTTTGCAATTCAGGACAGAAATAGATGACAGACATAGATGAGTACAGAGAAAACACAATGTCCATGAAGGAACATATACCAAATACACATAATTGAACAAATTAAAGTTGAAAGAAACCTGTTTTGTCAGGCAGTGTCACAGGAGGTTTGTCTATAGACAATAAAAATGGATATTTCTACTTTGCCTTTCTTCTGGAAAAGTTGATGGACTAAGTGCGTTACCAGGAACTCGCTCAGTTGAAGGAAAGAAAAGCACATGGCAGGGGTGATGTTGGAGTTATAGGTTACCTAAATAAAACCAGTGGGATATGCAGGTCACCCCCCTCACACCAAGGATATAAAATGCTCTAGAGGGGTGTATCTGTGAGTTTGTTATGAAATGTAAAAATCACTAAGAGCAGCATTAGAAAATATATTCTCGGTTTCTTTCAAGTGTGCACTTGCAGAAAATGGATGTATTTCTCACGAAGGCTCCAATAACTAACACACAGTGAATTTAACAAGAGGTGCAGGTGGGGGAGAAAATGACTGTGCGCCTTTGAGAGAATGTGTCCTTGTGCATTACCAGCGGATTAACTCCAGAATGACAGCCACCGTGCAGAATGCTGGGCCAACGTATGAGGCTAATGTAAAGGGGATGAAGTAATGGGTGTAAGCGGTAAGACGGTTTACTTGGCAGCTTTACCTTGGAAGCAGCCAAATGCAATCTGCTCTATTTGTTCCTCTGATATCCTAAACATTTCTCAGAAGCCAAATCAAGACCGAAAATTTTCTAGTGTCCATAGGTTAGGTATTTTCTCCGCTGCCAAAGGTAATCATACATGATAGCTACCGAAAATTGTTAAACTTGTTATTTTACCACTTACTTAGTTGCAAGTAAAATCGAACCTCCTTTTTGAACTAGTTTGTGAAGGGGAAGAAAATCCCACATACAATTACAAATCGTAAGAGATGTCTCTTATATTAATTGTATACTTTCTATACAACTTCTTTATCTTCTGTGTACCTTGTCTTTTTATTAAAACTATTTTTTAGAGAAGTGTAGAGTGATGAGAGGCTTTATTTTTTTTTCTTTTTTTTTTAGATTCACAGCACAATTGAGAAGGTATGGTGGTTTCCCACATACTTCCCGCCCCCATACATGCCTTGCCTTTTCCAATATCAGCATCTTCTACCTTCATGGTACATTTGTTAAAACAGCTGAACCTGTATTGACACATAATCACCCCAAGTCCATACTGTACATTCCCATTTTTTATGATAGAAACTGCTTTTATTTTTCCCCTTCAGAACTGGATAAGATTAATTTGATATAAAAAGTTATATAATGCTGAATAAAATGCACTGGAGTGAGGGGCACCGGGGTGACGCAGTCAGTTAAACGCCCGGTTGAGCATCCAGCTCTTGGTTTTGGCTCAGGTCATGATCTCAGTCAGGATTGTGAGATTGAGCCCAGCATTATATACTCCGTGCTGAGCATAGTGTCTGCTAAACTTTCTCTCTTCCTCTCCCTCTACCCCTCCCCCTCTCCATGCATTCTCTCTCTAAAATAAATCTTTAAAAGTTTTTTTAATGCACTGGAATATTATAAACTGGCTTATCTAAGTAGAATATCATATTGATAGAAGTTTGCATTAAAAATACAAAGAAAAATCTGACTCTTTAGAACTTATTAAAACGCTGATAAATGGGATATCTAAGCACCTTTTTGGATTTAGATACAAATGCCACTTGAAGACATTTTTCACTTCTAGATATAATCCACTAAAATCCATTTAAGCTAATAATCTATGATTAGTAAATTTTAGCTTTAAGCCCTTATTATTCCATAAAATCTTAGATGGGCTTTACTTCTCATTTTCTTCAGAAATACCCCATCTGTTGATCTGCAGGAAGGCACAAGGGGGAGGTGTGTGAATTACCCAGATGAAATTCTTTATCGTTGAAGAGAAAATATAGAATCAGCCATAACGGTTGTGGTTTCAAAGACAGCCCATTCTTGTCTCAATATGCAGTCCTTCTTTGGAAACTCTTAAATCTTTGGAAGTAATCCACAACAGGCAGATAGATGGTAGACTTCTAACATGGACCTTGTTGAACAATTGGTCAGTAAGTCTTTTCCTTTTTCTTTTATACAAGATATGCTTGAATTGCATAGGAAAACAGGATTCATTATGAATGAAAGTATATTAGGGCATAGAAAGGATGTATATTGTTTCATTTGCTAATAGAACCCATTCTGGTCCTTGACTTAGGTAAATAGATGTCTGTGTTTATAAGACTTAGAAAGGTCATGTTTGAAGTCCCTACTCTAATACCCATCAATCGGATCACCGTTTTGCAATTCATGTTCTCACCAGCTCTACTACTTCTTCTGAGGTTACACCACAGGAGGTGTCCCCCTTAGGTTATTTTTTTTAAATGTTTTATTTTTTATTTATTTATGATAGTCACACACACAGAGAGAGAGAGAGAGAGGCAGAGACATAGGCAGAGGGAGAAACAGGCTCCATGCACTGGGAGCCTGATGTGGGATTCGATCCCCGGTCTCCAGGATCGCGCCCTGGGCCAAAGGCAGGCGCCAAACCGCTGCGCCACCCAGGGATCCCCCCCCTTAGGTTATTAATAAGGTTATGAGCTTGGGCTCTGGGCAGTGACAGTGGACTTTCTGTCACTGTGCTTTCATCTCACTCTAAACTGTCATCTGAATTCAGAGATAGCTCAAACAAACAAGGATTCAAAATTCCGCATTGAAAAAAAGTCTTCAAAGACAGGTAAAAAAAAATATGCTTTTGAAAAGTCTTAAGAGAGACATTTCTTTAATCTTTGAACTTTCTAAGGATTCAAATACATAGTTGAAACTTGAAAACTTGAACGTTTTTCACAATGTCTTCTTGTTATGGGTGCAGAGAAAAGCCCTTAAAATTTTTCTCATTCTAGCTAGTGAGAAGAAATCTAGATGAAGTTATTTCAGGCTTGATGGCACATATACCAAAGGACTCTTGCTCCCTCTACAGAAGGTGCTTCAATATTGCAGTCACAAAGATTTTTTTTTTTTAATATTTTTAATGAAACAGAGGTTCACAATGATTAACAAAAGCTTCCGATTTATATATTAGCAACAATGTCTTGCAAACTGGTTGGATCTCCTGAAGTTAGGGTAGGTTTGTGTGTTTCTTGCATAAGCAAGGGTCGGATTTAACTCCATTAGCAACAACTGTGGAAAAATGGTAGGTTTTGTTTCCTTGTTTGGCTTTGTTTTGTTTATTTATTCTCATAGATGGGTAAAATGCCAGAAAATTTCTTTTGATATTAGGTAATTGTTGTACTCATTTTTGTTCTTTTTTATTTAGACAGGGAATTGAAGCCATAAAAATAATGTACTGTACCTCAAAGACTTAATAAGTTCTCTTATTATCTACTTCTAATTGTTCCAGTCATTTTTAGTTCTTAGTAGTAGTTGGGGGAAAAAAATTAACAATTTGAATTGTACTTGAACTTCACAGGAGAAAGAATTCATTTAATTGAACTGAATTTTTTTCAGCTATAGGTAATATTCACAAGAGACAGAAAGTTGACCTTTCTATAAAGATTTCACTAATACATAAAACTACCATGCGTATATATTTATTATCTTAATTTACCCATTTAAGTTAAATTGGAACAAAATGGTAATATTTTAATGACTTTGGTTTGGATAATTTTATACATCTTTTTAAACTTTAAGACCTTTTTAATCTGACAGGATACTAGTTTTTCACACTGTGCCATTTAAAGTTATAAGTATGAAAATTCTTTTATTTCATCACTAGAGTCTTAACAAGATTGAAAATCCTTTTCATTTGTATTTAGTATAAGAACAGCCCTTCTGATGTTACCCTGTAATGGAAAAATGAACACAAGTGACAAAGTAGTTCCTTTGATTTAAGTCTATCACACCCGACTCCATGTTCTGAATTGTTATGCTTAAACTATACTGGATTTTCTTCCCTCTCTGGTAGGTGTACTGGCCCGTTAGCAAATCCCCTTTCAGAGAAAACCAGAGACCCAGTCGAGGAAGATGATGATGAATACAAGATTCCTTCATCCCATCCTGTTTCCCTGAATTCACAACCATCTCATTGTCATAACGTAAAACCTCCTCTTAGGTAAGCATACGGGCAGCATTTATCACCTCACATCTCACAGCATAAACATTATCATGTGTGGTTTTTGTTTTTAAGCATCTGAATCACATGTATTTAATTAAAAATCCTTCCTGTTCAAAGCCTTCTCTTCCTATATACCATTTTCTGCATTATTTTCAGGGAAAACTAAAAGATGCAGATTTCTCATTAATCAGGAAGTCATTTAATTAAATTAATTGACGAGTAAATCTAATGGACCATTTTGTTGGCCCTCTCCCCACTTAGAACAAATTATAGTCTGATAAAACTTTGCTGTACATTATGTATTGCAGTGATTCATGAATTTTCAGTACACTAGTTTCAGTGCATTTTATCAGTTCTAAGCACCTATCTCAGAAGAAAAATCAGTGCTCAGAAACTAAAGTATTATCCGACCTTCCGTGGAATTTTTTTTCATGATATAAAGACTAATATATATTCATTTCCCTTCTTGATATGCTACCTACTTCTATTCATCATATCCTGAAGAAGTCAACAAACAAAAACACAACAACAAAAAAAACTAAAAGTATTTCCCTTAACTATCTTTTTTTTATCAAAAACTATTTTACCTTTCCTTAGATCAAATAAGAATGTGAGGAACAGTGTTTTTCTTTTTTTTTCTTCTTGTCAGTCGTTCTTATAATAAAGACATTTTTGGTCTAATGGCAGCTCTACTGAGGTATATAAGAGTTATTAAAAATGAGTAGTGTGGGGCAGCCTGGGTGGCTCAGCGGTTTAGCGCCACCTTCAGCCCAGGTCCTGGAGACTCGGGATCGAGTCCCATGTCAGGCTCCCTGCATGGAGCCTGCTTCTCCCTCTGCCTGTGTGTGTCTCATGAATAAATAAAATCTTTAAAAAATAATAAAAATAAAAAATAAACATGAGTAGTGTGTATTGAAATATTGATGTTTTTAAATTAGAAGGATGATTCTACACTTACATAATTGAGTTAATAATCTGTGGTCTCAAATATTTTTCTTTTTTCTCACCTGACTTACATGAGGTACTCAATAAGTCAAATCTCAGTTTTAAACCTTACTTTGTGAACTCATTTCCTTAATGTGACGGAATCCCTGGAGCTCTGCTGGGCAGACTGCATAGGGCTCGGGCCCAGCCTTCCTGCCTCCCAGCATCTCTCGATTGAGGATAGAACTGCCGAACACCTCAGCCATCTATGTCATCTTTACTTCATGGGCCATTTCGTTTTCAAGGTCAAGTCCATCAGTGGAAAGCATTTTATTTATTTATTTATTTTTTTAGTGGAAAGCATTTTATGAGTGGAGTGTTTCTTTCCAGATGAAAAATCTAAAAAATGTTTTGGTGCCTTTCTTTGAGTATCACACTGAGGTGAAATCCAGTGCTTGGAAAAGAGGAGCAAATCTTCATTTTAGCCAGAGAGGTATCTACAAGAGTGACCCTCGTTCGAATTATCAACACTCTGCAGAGTTCTTATCCAGGATTACTAACATTCTGCAGTCTAGGGTTCCATATTTCAAAACAAAAATCAAAGTATTTCTTGCTAATCACTGGTGTTTAAGACATTTATTGATAAAATGGTGTCACTGAGAAGATAAATAGCTGAGAGGCAATTTGTTATATCAGAAGAACCAAATGTCTACTACTTTTATTAGAGGGAAGTTATTCCTTCACATCAAACACAAATTGTCACAATTCTTAGGTCTTTTGGCTCTTACAAATGTATAGTAATTTTTAAAGACTGAAGTAAGATGAGCTTTTTTGGTTTCCTTGGGATTTCATTTTTTTTCCAGAAGCTGAAGAAGTGAGAGGTATAATTTCAATGCTTTAAATTTTAATTGTCAGATCATATTGGATGAGATTTTTGGTGGCAGGCCTCCCAAATCCTGAAAATAAATTTGAATTATGACCACCATTACCATCTTTCTATTGTTATAGAGAAGTAATAAATGTTGATAATCCCTAAACTTAATTGGAGAGAATTTTTTATCTAATTTGTTCTTGAAAGCCGATGGATCAAGTACCTTCTTATGTCCTCCACAGAGCACTCTTTAAGCTTAAACACTTCTTTCCCAATGCATTTTCCCACTTTGGAATATCAGAAGAAATAAATTGTCAATATGTGGAAAAAGTTAAACAGTAGATGAATAATTCAATTCAGTTTCAGTAAAAATCCATCATTATTATGAAAATTCAATACATGATAACTATTTTCAAATGAACCATCTCTGGCCCCTGAAATAGATGTGGCCACCAGAGAGAATGGAAATGAATTTCAGATGAAGCCACTCTTGCAGTAACTATTTAAATATCCACTATCTCCTCCATTATGTATGTATTTTTACTTTGCCCCCAAGAATTCAGAGTAAATCAGAAAAAGGAAAATATAAACTCTGCCTTCTATAGTTTTTTGTGAACAGAATAACTTGGTGAGCAGAGTTTGTTGTTACACAGCTATATTCTAAAGACAAAATATGGGACGCCCGGGTGGCTCAGCAGTTAAGTGCCTGCCTTCGGCCCAGGGCGTGATCCTGGAGTCCCGGGATCAAGTCCCACATCAGGCTCCCTGCAGGGAGCCTGCTTCTCCCTCTGCCTGTGTCTCTGCCTCTCTCTCTGTCTCTCATGAATAAATTAAAACTTAAAAAAATACAAAATATGCCCTGAACTTTGTCTTCCCACTATCTTCCCATGCCCCAGTTTTGTCCATTATGTTCAGAGTATGATTCCAATGTCCAATACAAATAACAAAAATACTTTTTTAGTAAGTATTATCTTTCACAGACCCCCAGATTCAAATATATGTTGTGTACCCAAGGCCTTTGCCAAAGCCATTTTTCTACAGTTGTCAGAAGTGTGAGAGTTTTCATCCTAACAGTAGTGAAATCCTAAAACAGACCTCAGGTCTTTGAATATGTCTACCAGAATTTTAATGAAACTATAGAACATGTAATAATTCTTCTTTGATGGGTTCAGTTTATTATAAGGAAAGCTTAAAGTATAGAAATAAAAACATGTTAAATACCATCAACAAATAATAAAGCTGTTGGGACTATTACATATTTGTTTTTGCCTTACTGCATGTTTTTCTTCAAAACTTGACAAGGTACTATTGAACTTGTCCAAATATATGTTAATTTTCACAGTTGTGTTTAGCTTATCAACAATTTTTGTGGCCCTTGTAATTGTTGATTTCACTTTAAGAAAAGATTGTCTTTCATGAGCTATTTACTTCTTCTTTGTAAAAATAGTTCTGAGTAAGAATGTCTAGGAAATATTTCTTATACTTTTTCCAGAAAAGGAAATTACATTTACTTTCAAGCTTTAGCATATGATCAGGATTGCTAGTTCCTATCACCCCTCCAAATTACTTTTAAATGGAAAGTAATTTTTCTTATGATTTTTGTCCTGTGATCTCTGCTTTAGGTCTTGTGATAATGGTCACTGTGTATTGAATGGAACACATGGTACATCTTCAGAGGTGAAGAAATCAAACATCCCTGAATTAGGCATTTATTTAAAGGGTATGTATAAAACATATTCTCTTTGTGTTCTACATCTTAATGGTCAGAATTTAAAGGCAAAATTCCGTGCCATTGTTATACTGAAAATACATTAAGATTTTGTGTTATCCTCTAGGAGATGTTTTTGATTCAGCCTCTGATCCAGTGCCATTACCACCTGCCAGGCCTCCAACTCGGGACAATCCAAAGCATGGTTCTTCACTCAACAGGACGCCCTCTGATTATGATCTTCTCATCCCTCCATTAGGTTGAAACCTTTAAAAAAATTTTTCAAACAGGCCACCCTGCCTCTTCTTTCAGTTAATATCTGAATGATCAGATTTCAGAGTTCAATGTAACACAGACTTACAAGATTACGAATCTGTCTGAATTAGAATGGATTCTCTAGGTAGCGGTGGCTCTCAAGTTCCTGTAAACACTATTCCGTTTATATGATTGAAGCAATGGGTACAGGGCTGGCCATCAATCTGCATTGTAAGCTGTCTCTTCATGTACTGAATGCAGTCTAAAAAACCTGTGAGAGCATCCTTCCTTCCCCTGAGCCCTTGGGTTCTAGTAGATTTGAAGTGTTCATATGAGATTTTCTTTAAGTACAATTCTTAATGAATGTGTACTTACTTTTTCTTTCAGCATAACGTGACCCAGTTCCACTTACTTAGCTAATTACATTATGGAAAATTACGTATCTTATTGTAGAGAGCTGAGAAATAGACTCTGTCTTATAATCACTGCAATTGCATATCCAAAGAATCTCTGTCTCTTTGGTTCAAATTTTAATATAAAATACACTAGTATGTACGTGTGCAAAAAGGTACACGTGTGTATGTATATTAAAGCTGGTTGCTGCTGGTACCTGTGTTAATTAATTCTAGGAAGCTTCTCACCCTATTTTTAGAGGAAAACAATTGGAATCTCCACACATCTTCAGGCTTCACGATAACAAGTCACCATAATATAAAATCATGTATGATCAAGGTCTGTCTATAAACTTCCCTGAATTAATTATTAGGCATCCAAAAATGTGAAACGACCCTTTTGATTCTTTCCCAGACACCGTCAACCAATGATGTTTCTAGTTATAGAATTGCTTCTGCTCTTCCTGTAGCTCACTGCTTCATTCTCACCAACGTCAATTACAAGCCTCTGCCAACACTTTTACTTACAGTTTTTTTTCTCCCTCCCACTTCTTCCTATGTGCTGGTTTTTGACCTGTTACCCAGTCTTCATGACCTAGATCACCACTGTCCAGTAGAACTTTATGTAGTGATATAACGAATCTGTATATTCACCTGTGCAACTGTGGGTGGAACTGAATTTCAGTTTTAAGTAAACAGCTATCTATGGCTGGTGCCGGCTGTGTGAGACGACGCAGGTCAGTGTTGCAGCCTGTGTCTGTAACTCAACCTTCCTCTCGCTCTTCATGCACATCTATGCTTGATTTATACTGTTTATTTTATACCGTTCCCTCTGTCGAGAAGACACCATCCTTGCACTTAATAAATACATGTTTTTGAGCCTCTGATATCCCAGGCCTACCTTGCTGAATATCGCTTTCTGCGTTGCCTGTCCTTCTTACAATGCGGAGCTCTCTCTGTGAGACCAGAGGCACTTTCACCTATGAATCATACCTCTTTGTGAGTTTCCCTTAGATCTGGTGGAATCTAAGCTCCTTGCGTTAGGACCTTGTGATTTTGATCTTCACATTACCTGTGTGCCTAGCATGGTATACCTGACATTTAGGGACTGAAAAAAGGACTTGGATGAGTAAGATAATGAAAGTAGCAGATAGCTGAAGGTTGGAATGATAGCAAAGTTCTTTCTCCTCCCCTGCCCCCTGTTGCCCACACCTTCAAATATTTTAAGTTAGAAAAAGACTTTGATCATTAGAGAAAATACTTTGAATATGTTTCATAAGGCAAGTTGGGTTAATGGTAAAGCCATTTTTCCTTAAAATATACCTTTGGCTTAAGTCAATAAATTTAAATACATGAATTTTTATTACTGGAATCTGTAGGTGTTTGCTTATACCCTGTTTCATTCACTAGGTATTTGAGATTACTTACCAAAATACATATATTGCAATATTGCAATTTTATTGTTTTAAAGAATTGAAGTATGGGAAAATATGAGTAGAATAGTAAGATGTGGCAAGGGAAAAATAAGTAGACATAAAAGCATGCTGCAATATTCTGTAGTTACTAAAGCTGGGAAATATGCAAATATAAGTAGTTTGGGGACCAGAGAAGATCGTTCTATATTTAACTGTTCCTCTTTAGAGATATCTGATAAGTAGAAAAATATATTTCTCTTCTAGAGGTACGTTTTCTGTATTTTGACAATGAAATATATGCAACATTAGTTTTAAGTGAATTAAAATCCAGAAGAATAAACTTTAAAAGATAATCTATTCTGTGACATTAAATTTTTTGTACATAGTGTGATTTTCTAATAAGAGGCTGTGAACTCCTACTGTTACATTTAAAAAATTCTGTTTTGATGGTATGAGTTAGAATAATTTTTAGTTCAAACATCATGTCCTTAATATTACAAAGGTTACAAGTAGATAATAAGCTCTTTCATAACCTGCAGAGCTGCCTTTTACCAGAAAGGCCTGGAAGATAGAAAAACATTGCACGTGAACATGTATGTTTGTGTGCCTGTGTTTCTCTTCCGACACTCGCCAAAAATAAGTAGCTTTCATTCTCAAAGTTGGTAAATTGTGAGATAAACCCTGCAGGTGAAGTTCCTTATGAGCAGCAAGAGAAAATCAATCATTACTTTGGCCTGATGCTGTGTTTTCATTAATGAAGTTCTGCTGTTGACACTGACCTTTCTTTAAATGCAGGTGAAGATGCTTTTGATGCCCTCCCCCCATCCCTCCCGCCTCCCCCACCTCCCGCAAGGCACAGTCTCATCGAACACTCTAAACCTCCCGGCTCCAATAGCCGACCATCCTCAGGACAGGACCTTTTCCTTCTTCCTTCAGGTAAGAGGGAAAAGCCAAAGGAAACTTTTCACTTAAAGCAAAAAACATTTTCTAAGATTGTACTGTCAAATAAGCATTAGTAGTGTATGGTTCCTAGCTCCTTAGCAGAAAAATCAGGGTAGAGAAAACCAGCAGTTGGGCAGGTTTGCTTGTCAATTGGTTAATTTAATGCAAAGGATTATAAAAATGTCAGAAGCAACAGGGATCATAGGTGCTGCCGAGCTCGTCCAATCCAGGTAACATCGTTATGCCACAGAAGGCATCCCTGAGAACCAAAAGGGCTTCACGATGGGGCACTAGTGATGAGGACAGAATTGAGACTCTCCAGATTCTGAGCTCAATATTTCTTCCTAGTAAGTTTTAATTTTACTAGCTATGGCTGAGGGTCATAATTGTATTCAAAAAGACAATGTTTTGGTAAATTGCATCATTACAACATTAATAGATTTTTCTGAAATATCTGATTTTATTGTTACCATTGTTAATTTTTAATATCAGTGTATCAAACTATTGTTTTTCAAGGAAAAATCAACACATAGCTTTTTTTTTTTTTTTTTAACCTTTCGAGTGAGGAATAGAAATAAAAATAAAGAGACTTATAACAAACCATCCACTCCATTAGCACTGTCAGGAAGAAATAATCAGTTACATTAAATCTGCTGATATCATCCAGTATGTCATGTTGATGAGACTATGATCCATATTCAAATTTTTGTCTCAATTTGGTTTGGATAAACATAGAAAATTTTTTTAACAATTACATTTTACCTTAGATAAATCTAGAAATTTTTAATGAGGGCTCAATTTGATTTTGGGCCGACTCTAGCTCAGTGAAAACTTGGGAATCTTAGTCATTACCATTCACCTTTACTACTCATTTTCCTAGATTTTTCTTTTCCAGTCATTTTGGTAACTAGAAAGTTTGAAGTGATTCATGGATGAGACACACAAATTATACTCCTGTAACTTGAAGTAGGTAGCTTTGGCTTCTAAAAGAGGCTCATTTTTTAAGAAATAATTTTGAGTTAGTTTTTCATCAGTAAGTATTGCTTGAATTGTCCTTTGTGTCACCTGCTCTGTGAGATGCCCCCTCCCCTCCTGGAGTCCATGAATTCACTGGAAACTATGAATCAAAAAGCAAGGATCATACCCCTTCCAATCCAGGCAGAAAGCATGGATAACTATTAGGCTCCTATTAATTCCTGTATCATAAATACTGATAACATTTGCTGTCTTTTTCACTTATTCAAATCTTTGTTTTATACATGAACTTTAACATAAAAGAGTCACTCTAAAACACATTTAACCTTTCCCAAGGCTAACTTCTGGATAATCTCTGGTCAGATTCCTACAAGGTACCTATCACTGTTTGTATATGTGATTTAAGCCCCATGAAATAAAAGTCACTGTAGTGCCTTCTTTTAAAATTAAGTCAAGCTTTCCAGGAGTTGGAAGAGAACATTTTTAAACAAATACACATTTTTACTTGTTTTTAATCAAAAGAGCTAATTATAAAATATTTTAGTTACCATAATTTTATTTTTCATTGTGCTTTATGTAAAAAAAAAAAAAACTTCATAAAAATGCTGTGGATATTACTAAAAAAAATTACAAAATGAAAATGCCCCTTTTATTAGGTAAAACAAAAGTCATATAAACTGTTTTTATTTCATATATAGGTTTACTTGTTTTCATTTTGCTTGACTGCCAGGCAGCTCAGCAACGACTGTCCGTAACCTACTGTGTGAGGCTAGCATGGGGCCAGGGCAGTGTCATTTGGACCTGTTGACTGTCTCTGGACCTTCCCTTGTACATGGAGGTATTCTGATTCTACTCCCAATAATGTTGATGTCACTTGATAATAAATACTCCTGAGGAAAAAAATGATAACTTATTTTCTTTCCTCTTCCAGCCTTTCATATTATTAACATGACAGGATTCTAGTCTGTTGCTAGATCCTTTATGGGATCCACTGAGATAGCAATTTTTAATCAACTCTATATATTTTTTATTAAAGCATAATTAACATACAATGTTATATTAGTTTCATGTGTAGAACATATTAATTCAGTAATTCTATGCACTACTTAGTGTTCTCACAGTAAGTGTAGTTACTTCTGTCATCATAGAGTGTTCTTATGCTATTATTGACTATTCCCTATGCTGTACATTTTTTTTTTTTTTTAGATTTTATTTATCTATTTCACAGAGCACAAGCAGGGGGAACAGCAGGGAGAGGGAGAAGCAGGTTTCCCACTGAGCAAGGAGCCTGATGCAGGGCTTGATCCTAGGACCCCGAGATCATCACCCAAGCTAAAAGCAGACGCTTAACCCACTGAGCCACAGGTGCCCCACCCATACTGTACTTTTAATCTCCAGGATTTATTTTATACCTGGAAGTTTATATCCTCTTAATTTCCTGAGACCACATATATCAGAATGTCTCCTTTTCAAAAGAAATATTTTAATTTTTCTTACATAATGATAAATAGAGCATGCTTTCTTTTGACTCATAAGCATTTGGGTATTATTTTGCAAATTAATACATTATATATCTAAAATAAAAGATTTGTGACCTTTCTTCACTCTTATGTCCATAAACTTCATTAAAGAATACCCTTTAAATGATAAATGAAAGTTTGACTCACTAGTTATAGAATCATAAAAGGGAGATAGAGGTGATTGCTGTATTAAAGCAGAGGGTATGAACGTTGTACTGCTGTTGCTTTCACGGTTGTTCATGCTGTAAAATTTTAGTCTAGTAAAATGATAAATCTTTGCTGGGCATGACTGAGATTTGGTTTCCTTAATGAAATGATTATCCCTAATTAAAGACAAAGGATAGATGTCTTTAAAAAAAAAAAAAGTTGGATTTCTTTCTAGTCTTGTGCTAAATACCTGATCAAACGCCCCTCTTTATTCCCAGCATTCAGTGCCCTGCATACTTGAGTCAAGTTGACCTTTGCAGCCTTATAAGCCCACTGACTTCTGTGTAGCAACAGTTTCAAACTGTAAGGTCCTGTGTTTCTGCAAAGGAACCTTAGGACTCCTGCAGAATGTGGGGGGAAGCAAAGCAGGGGCACGGCTCTGATGCTTCTCTTATCTGTTTTTGGTGTTCAGCCTTCATGCAAGATTTCTTTTGGCAAATAGTAATGCCCACTGCTGTGCATGAGCATCTATTCTGGATGGGCTAGTCCTCTCTTAACAAAACCTGAAGAATCTTCAAAAAAAGCTTTCTACTTTGCTAGCAGATATGTGCTTTTGTTCAGATTACAAAAAGGCACTTCTTTTGTGCTGGTGGGTTGAAAGAGGCAGCCCCTCCTTCTACCTTGTGCCAGGGCCAGTGCTCCAGGAACAAAGCCAAGGCTGCATTTCAGTCTGCTCATTCCCATAACTACATGTCTTTGTGCAGTGCACAAAATACACAACATGCCTGGCAGCCCTTGGTGAACCTTTCTTTCACTGTTTTTCTAACCTGGAATCTCTTTTGAAGTCCTTATCCAATCCTAAAGTCACCATTCAACTCTAAGAGCCAAATAATTTGACTTGATTACAGTTAAATGAAAGTTTTCCAGTTGGATCCAGAAATGCAATTTCATAAGTAAAATAGAATACTTGGGTCATTTAGCAAGAGTTATGGAAGAGGATTTAGGCAGTTCCGTTAACTGTGACCTTTATGAAACATAGTCATGATGTGACTACCAAGGGAGCTCCTGCCATCTGAGGGTGGCACTTCCAGAGTTCAGACCAGAGAAGGAGTGAGGTGAGGTCCAGTGCTCAGCTGGCCCGGAGACCACTGTGGGGAGATGTTGAAGAACTGAGGGGCTAGAGCTGGAGCAGTGGTTGGTTCTCAAACCGTAGTCCTCCAGCCAGCACCATCAGTGTCACCCGGGGGTCCTACTTAAAATTAAAATTCATAGGCTCCAGGAGGACTTACCAAATCAGAAATTCTGGGAGTAGGGCCCAGCAGTCTGTTTCTTCCGGCCTTCTGGGGGATTGTGAGGCATACTCAAGGGTTAGAAATACTGAGCTGGGGTAGTCCTGGTGAAAGGCAGCCAGGGTGGTAAAGGGAGTTTACACCTGACCGCAGAAACCACAGCGCATGACAGGAACTGCAGTGTTTAACAAGAGGGACGACTTTTTTTTTTAAATTTTTATTTATTTATGATAGTCACACACACACACAGAGAGAGAGAGAAAGGCAGAGACATAGGCAGAGGTAGAAGCAGGCTCCATGCACCGAGAGCCCGACGTGGGATTCGATCCCGGGTCTCCAGAATCGCGCCCTGGGCCAAAGGCAGGCGCCAAACCGCTGCGCCACCCAGGGATCCCCCGAGAGACGACTTTGAATACACATATTAGAGTTGTCTCTAGTTACAGTATTTGGGAAAGAAGGACTAGATTTCCTCCATGTTTCCTCAGAAGATCAGACCAGTGAATATGATTAAGAATGAAAATTGCATCATAATTTTCTAAAGTAAGAATTCTTAAGCATTTTATAAAAGAATTATTTTTTTAGAGGGGTGGTGAGTTCTCTAGCCCTGAAGGATTTAAGTAGTGGCCAGATCACTACCTAGTTAGGGAGTTTATGAATGTGAGTTAAAGAGTGAGGGCCGCGGACAGGGAGGAATTTCATTTCACCTAAATAGCTCTTCAGACCTTTCTAACAATGAGATCCTGCATTGATACTCTTTTAAAATTTGGAGGATAACTGATAAAGCAACCAGATGGTTTTTGGACAGCCCCACAGGAAAATATACCACTATTTTAACTGTCCAATTTTATTTGCCTTTTTTCCTACACTTGAGTAAATATTTGGGAAGTGTTTCAGATAATGAAAAAAAAGGAATTAAAAACATTCCCCAGTGCCACCCCCTAGAGATAACCATTTAATAGGTTTCCTTCTTACGCAGCATAATTTCAATCAATGCATATTTCCGCATTTCTTTTGAGCAAACTTTTCCTCCCAGTCTTCCCTTAGATTTCTATAATCTCTGAACTAAGTATTAAAATTTTAATTTAGCATTACCATACTGTAAATCACAGACAATAGTACTTTGCTTTTTAGAATAGATTAATGCCATCGTGTTTATTCACTCATTTCTCAAACATTTATTACTAGATAAATGGTACATTGGCTATTGTATTTTCAGTTTGTATGTTTTAATTCTAACTGTGGATATAAAATTTTACTTTAGTTTTTGAAGAATTTATTTCTAAAAACTCGATTGCTTTTCAAAATTATCAGGAGACAGTTGATTATTGTGCTATCTGTAGTAACTGGGTTGATCTTTTCCTATTGAAACCTGAATACTTTCAACCTTGCTATAGAAGCCCAGTGTACCCTATCACTGGACTAGTAGCAAATTTAGCATAAAGACAGACATGGGGCAGCCCGGGTGGCTCAGCGGTTTAGTGCCGCCTTCAGCCCAGGGCGTGATCCTGGGGACCTGGGATCAAGTCCCACGACGGGCTCCCTGCATGGAGCCTGCTTCTCCCTTTGCCTGTGTCTCTGCCTCTCTCTCTCTTATGAATAAATAAATAAAATCTTAAAAAAAAAAAGAAGAAGAAACGGATGGTAGTGATTTATAACTGACCTAAGTATTTTTTGCTATTTATGGTAATATTTTTAGAATACCTAGTGACTTTTTAAGTGAAATAGTTTAAAGGAACAATACCCTACACAACTATATATTTTGTAGTCTCTTTATGACCCTATAGTATATCCAGAAGCTAATGTTTAGTCTAAAGTGCACAGTTAGTAAGGACATAAGTATGTTTGACAAACCTATAAATTACCCCTAAAGAGATTTTTTAATAAGTGTATGTATTGTAAAAGGCATGCTTTCCTCTGATCTAATGTTATATCAGCAATGTTTAAAATGCACAATAATGGAAAGTAAATTTTATTGAATATTTAAATATAAATCTTCAGGAAATTTCTAAACTGATGCAGAAATCAGCATACCTAGTTCCAAATACTTACTCTTCCAAATCAAAGGATAAACATTTGTTGCATGAATTTGTCTTCTCAATGCTTCCTAAAATGTTTCAGCAAAATTAATGAGGCTGAACCATTGACTTTTTAAATATCAAAAGTGCGAAATCTAACATTAGTTTTAATCTTGAATTTTATAGAAAGCAAGTTAAATAGCCTTACTTAGGTCAAAAAAGTCTCCAGCAAAGCTAGGAATAATCATTATACTCAAAAAGGGGAAAATAACAATCAAGATTTCAACTCTTGCCTTACATTACCTAGTTAAAAATCAGTGTAAATACGTGCTAATTTTCTTCGTAATCAGATTCTTACATATTCTTCATGACAAAAAAAAGGGACATTAAAACAATAAAATATAATTGGACCCTTAATAGTTATGATTTTAATCTTATGTTAGTAATTCAGATTTCACTAATTTTGAATTTATGAAAAATATGAATCAATCTGGATTTATTTTTGGTAGTTAAAAGCACAGATTTATGACGTTCAGGCCATTTGCCTAGCAGTGTGCTTGGTACTGTGTGGTAGGTGATATAATTTAAACACAATGAGAACACAAGACTCCTTCCCTCGAAGGAACTTACACTACCTCTGGAGATAAGTGGCAGACATAACAGAAAGTAATATGAGAGAAGAAGACAGAGGAGCTAGAGATAGAAGTGGTGGCTAAGTAAATTATCAGTGAACCAGACATTGCAGAGATAGTGTTTATCTACTCAGAAATGAAACCAATTCTATGGATTTAAACCTATATGCTACTAATTTTAAACCAGTTATATTTTTGGTCCTAACAATTTAATATAGTACACTGACAACATTTATTTTTCTGCCTTCATTGCCAATTAGAAGTAGCAAAAGTAAATTTAATTTGTGTATAATTCATAATTTGTACTATTTCAGATGCCACTGCCAAGGTGGTTAAAAATACAACTTTTTACTGTACATAAAAAGCTTAAAGATACTAATACCACAATTTTTAACAACTGAATCTACTGTTCAGTGACCCAGTTAAAAATGACTTTTAGCTTAGGATGCCCAATGTAGTAATTTAAGGAGCACTTTATATATACAGGAGATTTCACACACATGAATTTATTTAATCTTCACAAATCCCAAATGTCAGGTACATTTTATATATAGGTTATGCCTAATGCTTAGAGATTAACAGACTTGATAATGGCACTTACAGGCAAAATTCAAACCCTCTTTTTTTTCTTTTACTTTGCAACAGTTTCTTTTTTTTAATTTTTAAAAATATTTATGAGAGAGAGCACGCATAAGCAGGGGGAAGGGCAGAGGGAGAAGGAGACCTCCCACTGAACAGGGAGCCTGACACGGGGCTCAATCCCAGGACCCTGGGATCATGACCTGAGCCGAAGGCAGATGCTTAACCAACTGAGTCACCCAGGTGCTTCTACTTTGCAACAGTTTCTATTCATTATGCCAGACAGAATGGGACAGAAAATAAAAATTTGCAGCAGCTTTTATCACCAAGAATTTTATAATTAGATCTGGAAAATGTATAATTAGTATTTTTGTATTGTCTAGGAATAAATGGGAAGAGCATATTTGAGCAAGTAATGGATAAATTAGAAAATAGGATTAAAAGAAGGTTAATATCAGTCATGAAATTATTGTTCCAATTTTCAAAACCTTTGATCTTTATAGAGCACTTCTAGAATGTTTTTCTTCAGCAATTTGGTAGAGATCATTTTAATTTGAAACTTATCTTTACTTTTAAGACCCCTTCTTTGATCCAGTAAGTGGTCAAGTCCCTCTGCCTCCTGCTAGGAGATTACCAGGGGAAAATGTCAAATCCAACAGAACATCACAGGACTATGATCAGCTTCCTTCAGCTTCAGGTGAGTTGGCCAATAATAGTTATAATGCCTTCCTAACGTTCATATCATGCTTTTTGCTTTTCAGAGCATCTTTTTATTCATTATATAATTTAATGAGCAACTGCCAGCCTAAAAAGTATTTTTATAGCTTTAAAATTTGCTTATAAAGCTTGTATTATGAAAGGAATGCCTACAAAACTGCCTCATTAAAAAGAAAAAAAAATGATACCTTCATATTATCTTTTGTTCACTTAGTAAAGCACATAGTCTGACTCAGAACCTATTCATTCTCTAACTTTTGTTTTGCCCTAGCAGATAGGAGCAATGGGAAAAATCTCTTTGTACATCAAAATGCTGCATTCTCTTATTTTTCAACTAAAGGAAAAAATCTCTTTAGAATTAATATTGGCACCAAACTATTAATTTTCAAAGAGATGTGCTGCAGTGCTCTACTGGCAGCTATTAAGCAGAATGGGAGAAGGATGTGCCATTTTAGTAAATACCAGTCATACTCCTAGCCATTAATAATGAAATGCTGATGAAATTGCTTCTTCAGGAGGCCTTCCTTTACCACTATATCTAAAATAGTCCCATATACCTTATGTAGTCATTTTCTATACCCTCCTTGTGCTTTATTTTTCTTCAAAAAATGTCTCTATCTGAAATGCCATTCATTTGTTTGCTTGGTTTGTTATTTGTCTGTCTGTCTTTGCTAGAATATTAATGCTTTGAAGATATGGGTCTTGTTTGCTCCACTGCTATGTCCCCATACACTCACAAGAGAGGGCCTAGCACACGATTCTTGGATAAATGGTTGGCTGAATAGGGGAGTAGGTGGGTAAAAGGAAGAGTAGCCGATGTATATGCTGTGCTGAACACACATTTTTCTTTGTTGAAGTGCAGTTGACCCAATGTTACGTTAGTTTCAGGGGTACAGCGTAGGAACTTGATAAATCCATACTTTATGGTCTGTTCACTGCAAGTGAACCTACCCTCTGTCACCATTCAGTGCCATTACAGTACCACTGACTATATTCCCTGTGCTGTACCTATTATCCTTGTGACTTACTCATTCCATAACTGGAAGCCTGTATCTCCCACTCAACTCTACCGATTTTGCCCATCCCCCACACTCTACCCCTCTTGTAACCATCGGTTTGTTCTCTGTGGGTCTGTTTCTGCTTTTAGTTTCTTTTATTTGTTTTGTTTTTTAGATTCCTCATATAACTGATGTCAGATGTATTTGCCTTTTTCTGACTTACTTCACTTAGCATAATACTGTTTAGGCCCATCCATGTTATCACAAATGGCAAGATCTCTTTGTTTTTTATGGCTTTTTTATGGCTGAGAAATATTCTGTGTGTATATACACACAGACATACACACACATCAGCTATCAGTGGACACTTGGGTTACTTCCATATCTGGACTATTATAAAATGTTGCTGCAGAAAACGTGCATATGTCTTTTCAAATCAATGATTTTAACTTCTTTGGGTAAATAATCAGTATGGTATTTCTGGATCATATGGTATTTCTATTTTTAATTTTTTGAGGAACCTCCAGACTGTTTTCCCCAGGGGCTGCACCTATTTACAATCTCGACAGTGCTTGAGTGTTCCTTTTTGCACTTCTTCGCCAATGCTTTTTTCTTCTCTTTTTGATTCCAGCCAATCTGACTGGTGTGAGATGATCTCATTGTGGTTTTGATTGGCATTTCCCTTGATAGTTAGTGATGTTGAGCATTTTTTCATGTGTCTCTTGGCCACCTGTATGTCTTTGAAAAAATGCATTCAGATCCTCTGCCCATTTTTGGTTATTTGCAGGGAGGGGTGTTGAGTTGTAGAAGTTCTTTATATATTTGGAATATTAACCTCTAATCAAATATATCATTTGCACATAGCCTCTCCCATTCAGTATGTTACCTTCTGGATTTTTTTTTTTTTTATGGTTTCCTTCACTGTGAAGTGTTTGGTGCATAGTCCCAATCACTTATTTGAGGAGACCCATGTAGAAAAATGTTGCTAAGGCTGATGTCAGAGAAATTACTGCCTGTGTTTTCTTCTAGGAATTTTATGGTTTCAGGTCTCACATTTAGGTATTTAATCCATTTTGAGTTTCTTTTTGTGTATAGTGTAAGATAATGGTCTAGTTTCATTCTTTTGCATGAAACTGTCCAGTTTTCCCAATACCATTTGTTAAAGAGACTGGTTTTTTCACATTGTATATGCTTGCCTTTGTTGTAGATTAGTTGGCCGTATAATCATGGGTTTATTTCTGGGCTCTCAATTCTGTTCCATTGCCCTATGTGTCTATTTTTGTGCCAAGTACCGTAGTGTTTTGATTACTACAACTTAGTAAAGATAAACTATTAACCTGGGATTGTGATACCTCCAGTTCTGTTTTTCTTTTTCATGATTGCCTTGGCAATTGTGGTCTTTTGTAGTTCTATACACATTTTAGTACTGTTTGTTCTAGTTCTGTGGAGAAATGCTTTGTGTATTTTGATAGAGACTGCATTGAATCTGTGGATTGCTTTTGGTAGTATGACATTTTAATTCTACCAATCCATGCGCATGAAATTACTTTTCCATTTGCTTGTGTCATCTTCAGTTTCTTTTGCCAATGTCTTATAGTTTTCAAAGTACAGGTCTTTCACCTCGTTGGTTAAATTTATTCCTAGATATTTTGTTCTTTTTGGTGCAGTTGTATAAGATTTTCTTAATTTCTCTCTCTGCTACTTCATTATTAGTGTATAGAAATGCAACCAATTTTTATGTATTAATTTTATATTCTGCAGTTTTACTGAATTCACTTATTCTGGCAATTTTTTGGTAGAATCTTTAGGGTTTTCAACATATGGTATCATGTCATCTGCAAACCGTGACAGTTTTACTACTTCTTTACCAATTTGGACTTTTTTTCTCTCTGATTGCTGTGGCTAAGACCTCCTGTATTGTGTCCAATAAAAGTGGCAAGAACGGACATCCTTGTCTTCCTCTGGATCTTAGGGAAAATGCTCAGTATTTCACCATTATGTATGATGTTAGCTGTGTATTTTTCATATATGCCCTTTATTAAGTTGAGATAATGTTCCCTCTAACCCCATTTTGTCAAGAGTTTTTCTCTTGAGCAGATGTTGAATCTTGTTCAGTGCTTTCTCTGTATCTATTAAGATTCTTATCCTGTTCTGTTGATGTATATTATGTTGATTGATTTGCAAATATTGAAGCATCCCTGCTTCTCTAGGATAATATGTGATCAAGGATACTGACCAGTAATTTTCTTGTGGTGTCTTTGTGTTGATGGTTTTGCCTTAAGGGTAAATGCTAGTCTTGCAGAATGTATTCGGAAGCTTCTGGAGTTTTTTGGAATAGTTAGAGGAGAATACTTATGAACTCTTCTTTAAATATTTGGTAGAATTCATCTGTGAATTCATCTGGTCTTGGACTTTTGTTGGGAGGTTCTTGATTCTCAGTTCAATATCATTACTATTAATTATCTGATCAGATTTCCTGTTTCATCCTGATTTAGTTTCAGAAGATCTAGGAATTTCAGAAGTTTCTAGGAATTTAACCATTTCTTCTAGTCTGTCCACTTTGTCAGCATATAATATTTTTGTATTAGTTTCTTATAATCCTTTGTATTTTGTGATTTCAATTGCTATTTTGTTTCTGATTTTGTGTTTTTATTCCTTGATAATAAAGGTTTATCAATTTTGTCTGTTTTGTTTTTGTTTTTTTCCAAAGAACCAGCTTTTGGTTTCATTGATCCTTTACAATGTGTTTTTGGTCTCTATTTATTTCTGCTTCTGGTATTTATTTATTTATTTATTTATTTATTTATTTATTTATTTATTTATTTGCTCTGGTCTTTATTATATTCTACTTTAACTTGAGTTCTCTTCTCCTTTTTCTAGTTCTTTTAGGTATAAGTGTAGATTGAGATTTCTGTTGTCTTGAGGTAGGTCTGTATCACTATAAATTTCCCTTTAATGCTTTCTCTATAGCCCAAATATTTTAGGCCTTTGTTTTCATTTTCATGTTTCCATGTGTTATTTCCTCTTCGATTTGTTGACTGATTGGTTGTTAGTAGCATGTTGTTTAGCCTCCATGTGTTTGTCCTTTTTCCAGTTTTTCCTGTGATTGATTTCTAATTTCATAACATGTAGTTGGAGAAGATGTAGGATATTTCATTCTTATTAAATTTGAGATTTGTTTTGTGGCCTAACGTGATCTATTCTGGAGAATGTTCCATGTGTACTTGAAAAGATGTATATTTTTTTGCATGAAATATTCTGTATATATCTGAAGTTCATCTGGTCTGAAGTGTTGCTCAAAGACATTATTTCCTAATTGATTTTTCTGCTTGCATAATCTATTGATTTAAGTGGAGTGTCAGTATCCCCTACTATTACTATAGTATCCTCAGTAGTGCTCCCTTTATGTCTGCTACTTATATGCTTTATGTATTTAGGTGCTTTGGTGTTGCTGGCATAGATACTTAAAACCCATTAAACCTCTTGTTGAACTGATCCCTTTATCATTGTGTAATGTCCTTCTTTGTCTCATGTGACAGACATTGTTTTAAAGTCTATTTTGTCTAATAAAGTTTCTACCCTAGCTTTTTTTTTTTCCATCTCCATTCTCGTGGAATTTTTTTTTCCCATCCTTTCACTTTCAGGCTATATATGTCTTTAGATCTGAAGCAAGTCTCATGTAGACACCATGCAGATGGATCTTGTTTTTTATCCATTTGGCTGCCCTCTGTCTTTTGATTAGAATATTTAGACCATTGTTTTTTGGTTGTTTTACAGTTTTTATACTCTTCTTTCCTTGCTCTCTTTACTTGTGATTGATGACTTTCTGTAGTATTATGCTTAGCTTTCTATTTTTTTTTTTGTTTCTGTTATAGGTTTTGAGTTTATAGTTACCATGAGGTTCATATATAACATCCTAACTATATAGCAGTCTATAATAGTAATGATGATCACTTAAGTTTGAACCTATGCTAAAAGAGCT